TTAGACACGACTCCCCCCCCCTTTTCCCCGCGACTCACTAATTTGCCCTATCTGGGAACCCGAAAGTATCCCCCAGATGGTGTCGTCTAACCACAGCCACCCCTCGGCGGAACAGGTGGTATGACAACGTTTCGCAAAGCAGCTCTGTGTGCAAGGGGAAGAGGTCCCGTTTAGCGCCCCCCCCGCTAACCCTTCCTTCCCTCCAGGGTAAGCGGCGCCGCTGCTATCCCGGCTGGAGGAGCCGGGGCCGCGTAAACTCTCTCCCGGAAGGATTCGGAGCCAGCTGCTGTACAGACGGGGACTCGGGGTCCAGACGCACCTCCCTCTGCTCCGTCCCCGATCCAGGGAGGCGCATGGCGGGGCGTAATTCTAACTCCCCCCCCCCCCCCCCGTCCCGGTTTTCACAGAGGGCAGCAGAGGCGGGTGGGGGCGTCCCCTCGGCCAGCGCTGTGGCGGAGTTGGGGGGAATAGGGGATGCTGCTGACTTGGAAGGAGTTAAGGAGCCAGCCCTGGAGCTGCTTGTGGCCCCACCTATTGGCAGCATGATGGCCACACGGGGAGTCAGAGAGCTGGAGGGAGGGAGGCGCTGTGTGTGTATGATTATTATTCACAGCGCTGTCCGCAGCAAGCTCAAGCTGTAACCCACATTTCTATCCAGACAGAGAGGGGCATAGGGAACGAGAGACAGCTGGATCCCCCTCCATGTGGCAGCCCGGCCTGCCGGGGAACAGTCCCTCCCTCCCAGCCTCTCCTCTGCGTGCACGCCCCTTAGAAATAGGTGCCTATTGTTAAAGGGCATTTTATTCTCCCCGCCAGGGGACAGCGCGGGTTCCCCTGCCTTCCCCGGGGGGCTTTGCCTGGAGGGGAGATGTCTCACCCCCCCTCCCCCGCTGAGTGATCTGCAAACCAAACAGGCAGGAGGAACAAGAGCATACAAATGTGGATGCCTGTCTGCAAGGCGTGCAATAAAATAAAAAGCCCAATCCCCCTTGCTGTCCCGCTGGGGTCGGGGGGAGCTTGTTCTCAGGTGTCTGCCGTGCGGGAGCCGGGGTGTGCAAATGCAGCTAGTGCTCTGCCTCGGATCTCTTCTTGGCTTCCCAGTGCCAGGCCCCTTAGATCCAGCGGGCTCGCCCGCTCTCTGAGGTTGCCTTTGTAAACATGTCTGTCTGTGCCTATCATTTATAGCAGCAGTGTGTATAGCAGGGAAAATAAGATCCGAATTTAGCATTCCATCCCTGCACTTGCAGCTTTGAAAGTGACACTAGCGTTGGGGCAGCTGTCCAACCCTTCATAAGATCGCCAGGCGCCCACGGGCTATCAATTCCCATGGGTAAGGAACTTTACAGGGGTCAATCCTAATAGCTAGCCTTGACTGGAACCTCCAGTCTTCTCCTGAGGCAGAGCAATATGCCCTCCTTTTAAAGAAAGCATGGCTTATTAATTTCTTTGCAGTTGTAAACTATTAGTCACACTGCCTAGTGCTTTTGATTTTTAGGGGCTTATCACTCATTGACCACATCTTAGGGTTTGGGGTGACATCTTTACCATGTAACAATCATCTACCTGATGAGGGAAAAGTGAATGAATGCACTATATCCAGTCCTTTTTATTAAATGATCAGTTGTATGTACTGTAGCTGTTGGGTATAGTACCGACAGAGGAAAATATCTCCTTTCTTCTCTCTGCACTGGTAATTGTTGTTTCTATTTGTTATTGTTTAAACTTATTTATTTTATCTGGTATATACGACACAAGTATTTACTGCTCCCCTCTTTCTTTAATGTGCCATTGGTTGGTAGATGCATCAACACAGTAAATCCTCTGGGTGGAGGGAGGTGGGGGACCAAAGTGGTTGCTTCTCACACAATTAATTTGACTTGAAAGACAATTAGTACATTTGACAAGGGGATTAGCTCTTTTTATAGACTGCTTTATGTTGCCGTGATACTGGCAAATTTATAATTGTTACACATAGCTCTAAATCGTTTATAATTTAAAATTGAAAATAAATGGCCTGCAATTACAGATACTTGAATGTCTAATAGGTCAGCAATTAAAACAGGCAATCCTGTAGAACTCAGAAGTGAAAACCATAATAATATCCAAAATGACCCTTACATTTTGTATTCTAGGTTTTATGAAACCTTAATTTGATTTTTTCCATGTATAGGTAATATTAAGTTACATATAATGCATTTAAGCAAGAATAATGAAAAGCCATTGTCAATTTAAGATGGCATGTTTTTTAGTTCTAATATTTTAAATAACAATAAAGGATGGGGGAGAGAATCAATCAACAAATTATTCTAATACTTGTGGATGGGATTTTCAAAGCCAAAGAAGAAAAGGAAATGTTTAAATTCTGGAGTAAAAGTAACACAGATATGTAATACAGATGCCCTCAGGCAATGAACAGAATAAGCTATTTTCATAATTCTACAATGTTAACATGTTCAAATGGAAAATATTTCTAATATAGAGAGCCCGTGTATAGGGGAGGTTGGGCGGCGGGGGGGGAGAGGGGAGAATCTTGAAAAGAAATAGAACTAACATACTAATCCTTTGCACGTGTATTCCTTTATGATGGTATATATTCATTATAGTGCACTAACTGCCTCACTTGACTGCATGTTGAGTATTTGATATATTTACCATAAAAAGGTTATTTCTGAATGTGTAACTATACTATCCGACAGCTCAGTAGACCACCACAACACGAATGAATTAGTAGCTGTGATTAATATGTTGGGGATGGTGTGGGGAGTTTTTTGTGTTATGGAATACTGATTCATTTTTCTCTTCCAAACGAACACCCTTTTAATTATTCTAGTTGTATTTTCTGTTAATTTTTAGGGCAAATCAGTCTATTTTTCCAAAATATGTTCCTCTGAATATTGATAGGGCTACCTATAGTTAATATGTTTCTGTTGGGTAAGTATTATAAATAGGAGTTGGCCGTTCAGAAAGCCTGCATTAGGCATGCTTGTGAAAATGTTGAAATGGATCACCTCCGCTGTAATTATCCTTACCCCTATATAAAAAGAGGGGGATATGACATGTCAGAATTGTGCAGTTCTGTGTTATGTTGCTTCTGTGAGCCTGTGCATTGATTGAGTAATTTCCTCAGACTCACATTACTTGATTGCTTAGAAGTTTCCTAATGATCTGTATGCTGTAGGAAGAAGTCGAAAGCCGTGAGCAGACTGGCAATGATACTGTGTTTTATGAGGCTATTCAAAAAGTGGCTCTGATTTATGTAGCTCGAAAGCTCTGAAGTCTTTGAGATTAGCCACGCTGCCTGCTATTTTCTTCATACATCAGTCGTCCCACACTCTACTCTCTAAACACAACAGGAGTTTAGAACGGTGCCTTTAATTAAGCAGGGATTAGGTGGCATTTCTAGTCTACTGCAAGATTTGTGTATGGTTCATATCTTCTGCGAAGGGTCTTATATTTTGTAATAAGTGCTCACTCCTTTATCTTGGTGTATGTGCACAGTAATATCTCTATGTACATGTGTTTATGTAATGCATAAATACACCAACACATGCCTGTATCAGATGAAGCAAAGCTGTCTGGGTCAGGTAGCAAATAAAATCTTTATCGTATAAGAGCGCAGGTGTAAAATGTCATTACAATCACTTTACAGAATAATGCAGTAAAACTGTAGCACTACTTTAACCAGTAAGATTGCAGTATGCAAATGAAGTCAAGGTTACTATATATTGTGTATCTCTCGCTACCCAATAGCATGCTGCTCCTAACTTTTTCCATATCAACTGGAAAGTTCAAAACACAAATTTGTGTCTTGCAGTTTTTTTAAATAACAGAATTGTATAAAAACAATAATGCACCAAAGCTTTTAGACGGCAAGCTCTTTGCAGCAGGGACTATCCTGTACTAGATGGTAGTCAGGTGCACAGTGGGGTCCCAACCTTGTTAAGGTGTGTAGACACTAATTCAATCAATATACACTTGTATATTCAGTGGAGGCATGTGTTTTTTCTGTTAATATCTTGTGACAGCCTTCAAATACCACCTGCACCTCCCGAAAAATTTATGCAGGAAAAGTGAAAAAACTAGTATGGAAGTATACACATCCGCATCTCAGGATTTGCTTAATATTAAGTCTGTGTTGTACCACTCCAAGGAATTTGTATACTATGGAGATCTGTGCCAGTATACGAATCTGATCAGCTCCCTTGATGGGTGTGCCTTATAAATAAAGTTTTGTGCAAATCTCTTTAGTATAGAACTTGTTTTATATACTTTATAATAAGCTCAGACATTTCTCACTGATACAGTATATCCGCATAAGTCCTAGCATTTTGCATAAAAACCTTTACTTTTTATTGCTTGCTATGCCCATGTTTCTGCACCTATGTAGTGTATTATTAAATAAATACCGTGCTGATCTTGTGATTAATATGGCCCTTGCTAACAATGATG